CGCGCAAGGCAAAATGGAGATTAAATAGTGCCCTGATGGGTAGAGAGGTATATAAGAGATCCAACATGAAGATAAAACGAATTACGCAATTAGGCTAATATATGCTAGAAGCCCTAATGAAGATAAGAGAGAGAGAGCATACCCTGACAGGTAGAGGAGAGAGAGCGTGCCCTGACAAGCATAAGAGAGAGAGTGTGTGCCCCGACGAGCAGAGGAGAGAGAGAGAGATTGCCCCAATGGGCGGAAAAGAGAAAGCATTCCCCGACAAGCAGACGAGAGAGTGCCCCGACAGGCAGAGGAGAGAGAGAGAGCCCCAACGGGCAGAAAAGAGCGTGCCTTGACGGGCAGAGGAGAGAGAGAGAGAGCCCTAATGGGCAGAGGAGAGAGAGAGTGCCCCGACGAGCAGAGAGAGAGAGAGATTGCCCCGACGGGCAGAGGAGAGAAAGATTGCCCCCATGGTCAGAGGAGAGAGAAAGTGCCCCGACGGGCCGAGGAGAGAGTGTGCCTCGACGGGCCAAAGACATTCAGAGTGTGCCCCGACAGGCCGAAGACATCGAGAGCATGCCCCAATGGGCCAAAGACATTGAGAGCGTGCCCTGAATGGCCGAAGAGATTAAGAGCGTGCCCCGATGTGTAGAGAAGATTGAGAGTGTGCCCCGACGGGTTGAAGACATCGACAGTGTGCCGTGACAGGCCAAAGACATTGTGAGAAGGAGCCCCATTGGGCTTGCGGTGCGAGACGGAGCCTAGTTGGGCTTGCTGTGCGAGATGGAGCCCCGTTGGGCTTGCTGTGTGAGTCGGAGCCCTGTTAGGCTTGATCAGGGTTACCTTGTATGAAACCCATGAAATTGACAATCTGTTGTGATTCATGACAATTAATGTTTAGCTGTTTAGAAAATCGGAGTAAACATTGAATACCCTGAATTATGATTTGGTCCTGTCTGAGGATAACAATAGGCAATGACTACCCTAAAAATAAAATACCCAACAGTTAAGATTTTCCTTGTTGGGATTTTTATTTAGTCGATAAGTTGTAGCGCAAGCCTGTACTGCTGATGTTTTTATATGGTTGATTTCATTGCTTTTATTCTCCTAGAAATATCATCGCAATATCAGTTAGCTTGCTCTGCAGTCACATTCTACACGCTGATGTACATGAGAGAGCAAAGAGAGCAGTGCGTTGAGCAAAACAGAACTTGGGGATTCAGGTTATGAAAGTTTCAGTATGGTATAATTTAGAGCTGCACAATTAATCGAAAGAAATCCAGAGAGAGCGTGCCCCGACGGGCCGAAGACATTCAGAGTGTGCCCCGACGGGCCGAAGACATTGATAGCGTGCTCCGACAGGCCGAAGACATTGAGAGCGTGCCCCGATGGGCTGAAGAGATTGAGAGCGTGCCCTGATAGCCGAAGAGATTGAGTGTGTGCCCCGATGTGTAGATAAGATTGAGAGCGTGCCCCCACAGGCCGAAGACATCGAGAGTGTGCCGCGACAGGCCAAAGAGATTGCGAGAAGGAGCCCTATTGAGCTTGCGGTGTGAGACGGAGCCGGGTTGGGCTTGCTGTGCGAAACGGAGCCGGGTTGGGCTTGCTGTGCGAGACGGAGCTCCGTTGGGCTCAATTAATCGAGAAAAAAAAGATTGCGATTTCAATTTGACCACCAAGATGATCTTAATCCAGCATTTCTATGATTCTGCCAAATATATTTTCAATTTTAGAAGAGAAGCAAAGGCGACTGCATGAGTCTTTTCATTGTTTCACATATGTTGCTCAGCGACATGGACACCTCCAAATTATGTTAAAAGAGTCACATACTGCATTTATAAAGGTATAATTCACCAAAAAAAGTTTATTTTTGTCTTCATATAATGTATTAGTGGCCAGGAATCACACGTGACGTGAGCTGCTGACTGTGCGGGTGCACGCCCTACTTAATGATTGACGTGTGTGCGTCTACTTTAGTGAACAGAACCTGCATATTCTGTGAGTAACAGGTAATAAAGTTGTAAATAATATTCAGTTTGTGGCACAGAGTGATCGTTTGAGAGTCGCAAGCGAAGTATGAACAGCACTTATCAGTGAAAATGAAACCGAAAGCGTGCACATTATTTAACTAATCATATTGCATTTTAGAGTTATGATTGCGACAAGTTTTTTCTTTCATAGCGAACACAGAGTTTTGCATGAAAATAAATTAATTCATTATGGGATCTCAAAATTTATTTGTATGTGAACGTGACCCCAAGAGCAGCGAATTTCTTAAAAGCATAAAGCAGGTATGGCACCTGTAGCTTACCTTAATTCTTGTTAAATAATGATTAAAGAGCTTAGGTGAATGCATACACCATATAAGATCAATTACAGTGATAAAGCGCTTAATCATGTTATATACGATGATACATAAATGAATCTAATTATGTTTATGTAAGGTAAGATTAAATTGTGATGATACCAAAATAGCAATATTGAACAGTTATGTCCATGAAAAAGTGCTACTATAAAGGGTCACATTAAGTGCAGATGAAAGCAACAATAAGCCATGATTAAAGAGGCCGCAATAGACCTAGCTATATGGAAAAACCCGATGAACCATAGGAACTGGTAAGCCGAGATGTCATGTAACGCGAAGTGCCATAAAATCCATCTGGACCACCACCAGTAGCTGCAAAGACAACACATGATGATTATTACTTGAAATAAAAGGAAACATTTGAAACTTAAAATGTATGTATTGGACTCACATGTTAGGCTGACTATGTACCTGTAACAGGTTGGTTCATTGAAACAGCATAATTAATTAGTTAATTAATTCATTAATGTCCGTAAGAAAAACGGGCTTTAATTTGGAAACATGAAACACGGGATGTGTTCTCCTGTACGCTGGAGGAAGTTTGAGGCGGACTGCCACCGGACTCATGATCTTGATGACAGTGAACAGGCCAATAAATTTAGGTGCAAGTTTATTACATACGGAATGCAAGGGAATATTCTTAGTTGAAAGCCACACATTCTGACCGACGACGTAAACGGGAGGCTTCGACCAGTGGCGATCGGCTTCAGCCTTGGTGCGCGCTCCCACCTGGTCATCCAGGTAGACATAAATAAACTGATCTATCATGTCTCGCAACAAGTCATTTACGTGTGCTTGGAAAACTGCAGGAGCACAAAAGGAAAAACACAATATTCAAAATGCCCCATGGGGGTTATAAAAGCGGTTTTCCACCCATGGCCCTGTTTCTCACAATCAAAAAAGAAGCCCCTTGCAGACGCTCGAACGCTGAAAGCATCAGCGGCAAAGGATACGTGTTCTTTACTGTCATGTTGTTCAGCCCTCAATAGTCTATGCAAGGTCTAAGAGACCCATACTTCTTTTTCACGAAAAAGAACCCCGTCCCTGCTGGTGAAGAAGAAGGCCGTATGATCTTGGCCGCTAGAGAATCAGAAATATATTTCTCCATGGCCTCCCTCTCAGGAATAGAAAGAGAGTATAACTTGCCTTTAGGTTGAGACGTACCTGGCAATAAGTCTATATGGCACAGTCATAGGGACGATGAGGAGGCAGAGAAGCAGCTCGAGACTTACTGAACACTCTCTTCAGGACGAGGTACTTACTAGGCACATTTGACAGGTCCATGCGCTCCTCCTGAAACACAGAAAAAGAAACAGCAGAGCGAGCACACGAAAGACAAGACTCATGACAGTTCTCATTCCTCAAAAATATAGTATTAAGACCCCAGTTAATATGAGGTTTATGGACAATTAACCAAGGATGGCCTAAAACCATGGGTGTGTTGGAACAGTCAGTTAACAAAAATGACATGTGTTCAACATGATTTCCAGACGTAATCATTTTTATGGGTTTGGTGGAGTGAGTGATGGTGGGGAGGGAAAGTCTGCTGAGGGCGCGTACTGCAAAGGGTTGTGACAAAGCAATAACCGAAAGTTTAAAACTGAAAGCAAAGTTAGAGTTGATGAAATTCCCCTCAGCACCCAAAATCGACAAGGGCGTGGGTGTTTTGGCTTCCGGAACCCCATGATATAGAGACAGGCAGTAAAGTGGCCGCCGCAGAGGATTTGTCCAAACTGATTTCACCCATCAGTAACCTCTTACCTACTGATAGGTGTTGTCTTTTACAGGACAGCAAACCACCCGATGACATGCCCCACCACAGTAAAGGCAGAGTCCCTCAGTTCTCCGTCAGCGCTTCTCCTGCATGGATAAGCGGGACCTGCCCACCTGCATCGGTTCCGGGTCAGCGCTCCCAACTTCAGGCACCACAGCCGAGGCCGGAAGGTCAGTGACAGGATCCGGAAACCTGCCTTGCCGCATGCGACTTTCACGGTGGAGCAGTCTGGTGTCCACCCAGCTCAACTAACTAGTCAAGAGTTTTTGGAAGATCTAAGAAATATATCTCGTCTTGAAGACGGTCAGATAAACCATGCAGGAACACGTCCCATTGAGCATCCGCGTTCCAGCCGCATTCAGCAGCTAAGGTCTGGAACTCAATAGAATAATCCGCCACGCTCCGATTTGCCTGGTGGAGTTTAGCGAGGATTAGGGCAGCCTCTCTCCCCATTGTCCTCTCTCTTCCCCATTGTACCGCCCTTACCGAAAAGAGGGTGATTACAAAAGCAGCCTTGGACTGCTCTGAGGAAAACAAAGACAGCTGCAGGGTGAAGTACAGGGAACATTTGAATAGGAAAGACCGACATAAGTGAGGCTCTCCAGCATAGCAGGTAGGAGGAGGAAGGCGAGGCTCAACAGAGCGACTAGCAGCCACCGGCACAGGAAACACCTCCAGGGCAGATGCAGGCTTTGCTTGTGCTGCTCTAGAAACCAGCTGTTGGACCTGAGAGGTGAGCAGCAAAACCTGGCCGACCAGAGCCTGAATAGCTTGTGCAGTGGTGGCCAATGCCTCATCCTGGAGATCAATCCTGGCGTTGCTGAGCGTGACGAACTCGGATATCTGTGACGTTACAATTAAAAAGACACAGTCTAATTGTGTGGGTCATTTATAATTTTATTGACGTTTTAATGCAAGTACAACAAGCCAGATCAGTTCACAGGTTGCTTGCTCTTACAATACATGTCAATTAAAAATACAACACATTATTTGGCTTGCCAATCATATCTAGAACATGTCTTTGGTGGATTTCAGAGTGATTCGAGATCAGCTTATATCATTACATTGGTTTCAATAGCTTAATGACAAGTTCCTTAAAGCACCAAACTACACCTTCACTCTTAAAGTAACCAATTATCAAGCTGTATCTTTAATACATGCTAGTAATCTGACAGATAAACTTGGGCTGTACATGATGTTCAACACATTAGATCTAAACTAAATGCGTTTCCATCTTAACCTTCGCTGTACTGATTCTCCATTAATGAATGATGAACGGACACAAATGAGTCAATCTGGATACAGTTGTGCTCTCGGTTAATTCGTTTAGTTATCAAGCGTCAGACCCGTCAAAATCTACCGTATATTATGACCCCAAACTCCAATTAATATCGACTTAAATAAAAAATACATATAATTACATCCAAAAACACAGCATTGAAAAAGGCAATAATGCAGCAGTTAAAACATCCGTAAGTTGGTTTACATTTCTATTGGTTCAGGAATAAAGAGGGAGGAGTCGTCTCAGCCAAACCTAAAATGGATCTCTACTGAATACATGGTCCTAAATCTGCATGATGATGCTGGTACCAAATCTTATATAAGAATCTTAAATTAGAGCATCAGATCACAATTATTACTCGTGTACACAACCCAGGCTCATTCTGAAAATGTTGTCCCACGGATGTGAGATTAAATTGGAAACTGCGAAACTGCGAAATACATCCCGGGATTTATTACGTATATATTACGTGTTTTTGCAGATTTTGTTTATGTGAATCCGCGAGAGGCCACAGTGTGCGCTTCTTCGCATTTCAAATGTCTCTCGCCGAGTGCCGTTCGTGCCCGAGCTGTTTTCTCGTAAACCCACCAGAGGCCGCTATCGAACGACCATCTGTCTGTCTGACTGACTGAATGATTGACTGGGCGACCGGCCAATCGGCTGACCCACCCTCCTCCTTCCCTAAACCCAACCAGTTTTACCGATTGACACACCCGCCCGCTTGCTTCCCTAAACCCAACAAACAATTTACAAAAGCTGTCCAGAAAAAGAAAAGCCCTCGTCTGATTTTTATTTTTTTGCCACGCTTTTGGATTTTACCACATCCTCACCCTGTTATGAAATTGATGACTTAATTTTTTTGGATTATATTTTTGTCGTACCTGATTTCTGAAACCGCTCTTCTCCGGACCCAAACCCGGTCGTCGTCGTCATGGTCAGCTTCTTTCTGCGTCTCAAGTCCGCCGACGTACACGACGAGCTAACCGTACAAACTGGTTGCGGCGGGAAAGCCCTCCACACAGAGGTAAGCGGTCAGCAGGTAAGCACGAAAAAGATCGCCATCACACCGCCTCGTAGCGTTCGCTTAAAAAATGAAATGCAGCTATACGTAACACCGGCTACATAATTTGCAGTCTCCAGAAACGTCAGCAAGACTACCTTTTCAGAATGAGCCTGGGTTGCATATACACCTCACAACAATATATTTATTGATCATTTTGTGCCTAATGATGCCTTAAAAATAAATATTACACCTCGACATGCTTCTGATTTTGTGGTATATGCTATTTAGGTGTGTCTAACTTAGCATTTTTGTGGTTTGGTTTCAGTTCCTGTTCAAAATGTAGGTTCCAGAACAAACAAAGGAAGACGAATACGAATGGTAATGTCATACGGTTTGATCCGTCTTGACTCAGAAGAAAATAGAAGTCAAATAAATATAATCTTAGATTACATTAAGATTTCTGAGGACAGAGTTTGGTTTGGTTTATACGTACTGTATAACAGTGGACTGAAGAAACTGAAAACATTTTGGTTTCACTTCTGCTGATATGTCATGTATTAACATTGTATAATCCCACATTTTCCTTAAAAACCTGTCCGTTCTACTAATGAAATGATTCGAGCAAGACGTGTTCTGTCTACAACTGACTACCAGTAAATTGTGTCAAATGTTATTCATGTCAGAGCAACGCACGCTAAAAAACTGAGACCTAAAACAGAAATGCATTAGACTGACAATCAAAAGAAAAGCAATCTTGATTTTCAGGACTGAGGGAAAGCAATTTCGCAATCACACCTTGTCAGTCAAAGTTGTTTTCCACCTTTAAAATATTTGTTTACGCAACACAAACCCTCAACAGGTAAATCAACTACTGTATGAAAACGGAGGGATTAGCTAAGCTAACTAACCACGTGTTAGGAGGAACGTGAATGAAGCCTATGTCTACCGAAGATACATTCAGTCAGGAGTTAACTGTGTCATTTTTCTTGTGCTGGTTTTTACAACAGTCCGTTTTCATTCAGCCATGATAGGAAATGTTTCGTTCTCTGTGTGAGCAGCACAAGGTCATCTTTTACGTCCACACGTTGCGTCGATACAAATTAATGATAGAAACGTCTATTCGTTAGTTATTTACACGTCATCGTTGCACTGTGATATTTTCATATTTTTTTGTTGTTTTTATCAAAAAGCAAGAAACAGGACCAACACAAGTACGTTATAGCATCATACACCAAATTTTGCATGCTTTTCTTTACGCGTATGGACTTCGGATTACTTAAGAATTGACTTTTTAAAGAAGCGATACCAGAAAAATATCCGGGTAGCGTTGATCGATGAACATTCGTGGTACATTTAAAACACTGACTCGAGTTCTTACGGCTGTGATTGAGACTAATAATCTACCAGAATGTTCGACGGTTGACTTATACGTGAATACAAACCTTGTTGGATTTTTTTTCGCCTTATTATTAAAACAGAAGGACTCTATAGCGGCTTATTCTACAATGACCGTCTCCCTGGAACTCAAAAATATATTATTTCACCCATCTCACAGTTTCACCATGAAATAAACTCTGCTTTTTGAAAATAGAAATGACAGAAGGAAGCACTCAATGTCGAGCTTCCTTAAAAACACATCCGGAAAGAATGTGGCGCTTTTTTTAAAACGTCACATCCTTATGAAATGATGCAAAAAACGGGGAATTTCAGATGCTCTTGTTGGGGATTCTCTTATTACTGGCTCTCCTTGATAAGAGAGTAGTATGCAAACGTTTTACTACAAACTCCCTATTTACGTGCCGGGTTTGTTGTACATTTTTGGACATCGGTCAGATAGACATACAGAAGAGTACGAGGGAGAGGGGGTTGTTGTGGAAAACCCCAATCGAAAAACTGGGAGGCGAGAAGGGAGAGTGTGACATCCTCAGTTCATTTGCTCAAAGAATTTGTAAGTGGGGTTTTCGTAGCCGTGATTCTGCATCTTGTTGAGCTGTCTTTCCTCAGGGGTCAGCATTGGGTCCACCTATGGGAAAACATTACAAAATTGAACAAGATTAGACTGTGTTTATGCAAATATACAGTCTGATGTTACGAGAAAACAACTATTTTATGTTTTGTCAGTTTAGTGGCTTACAAACACATACAAGTTCAGTTGTATGAAAATGTAAAATTTTTAAGAAGAGGCTTGACACTTAACCCTACCCCTAAACCCAACCATCATTGGAGGATGAGCAAATCATACTGAACTGTACAAATGAGATCATACGATTTCATATGAATTAGCCACTAAATGAAAACATTATGAATTGCGGTGACAGCATTGAAATATGCAACCCTGGATCAAAAGCAAGTCTTAAGTATTAATTTTCTGAAATGGAGGTTTATACATTATTTTTCTGAAATGGAGGTTTATACATTACAAACAGAATAAATACGTTTTATCCACGGATGGATACTTAATCCTAATGGATACTTGGATAAAATTTGAGATACATCTCTTTGATTATCTGAAGGGTTCAAAAAAATTTAATAGTGAGAATATCAGTTGTCTAAATGAAGTGCATAGAAATGCACATTACTACCCAGCATAAACCATTACATCAAAAAACATGTACAAAATACGGTGGCCGAGAAAGCTAAGAAAACCCATGCAATTACAAAAAACACCAGCAACTTCAGAAAAGAGCTTCATAAGTTTGACAGCTTACATGTTGCAAATCCTCACAATGCAAACAAGTTAACTAAACGTGCTGCAAAAGTTTTCGGAATGCAAACAAATTAAGAAAACGGCTGCATTTTCTCCCAACACATGCAAATAGGACAGAACACAACAGAAATGTTTTAAGGGGACCCAAAAAATGACAGATCCATTCATGATACACTTAAGGCTGATTTATATTTCTGCATCAAGTGTATGCATGTGCTTCGGCACAGCCTTTGCGCAATCCCAGACCCCTCGCTGTGGTTGACACCGATGTTGATGCACACCTATCAAAAAATGTAACTACTTGTCGCATCGACGCTTATCGCAAGCTCTATGATTGGTCAGCTTGGTAGCAGTGACGAGTTTGGGCGGTGCTGAGAGCTGCAAGCCCAATGGAGCGATTTGTTTACAAGTGTCAAGTAGTGTTATGACGTATGATGTATTATAGCGTATGACGTTAAATTACACCTTACACATGACTACTGTGCTGTAAATATATTTGCCTTCAATTTAGCTTAATGTTCTTACAAACCCTCTATGTGGACTTTACACTCCAGTTTAAGCTAGTGCTTTCTGGTGCATTCACTGGTGGTTGGTGGTTATTTCCTAGTTCTGTGGAAAAGTGATAGCCAAATGTAGCTATTAAATGGGTCATGATGTATAAAACTAGGCTTAACATTATGGTTTTTTTAGCTGTTGTTTGTGGTTTGTATGACCTGCCATGAGGGTTTGACAGTGTTTACCGGTAAACAAGCCCTTTAGTAACTCTCTCACCTCTACTATGCCGTGGCTGATGGTCCCGTATGGCTTACGGCGAACTAGCAACAAGCTGATTACCATCACCATCGCGATGGCCACCGCCACTACCAGCAGCCCCACCATTGCCCCACGGTTAAACGTCTCCAAAACGTCTGGCTGCTGTGATGGAAGATAAAAATGAGGAAATTACTTTCACTGTAACATACTGGAATCAAATTAGCACCTGAAGCCATAACTTTAATAATGCAACCAGTTTTTAATATTCAAAGGTGCCGTGAAATTAAAATAATGTTTTTCAGATGTTAGTCTTAAGGATATCTATAAGCTAGTGTGATGCAAAACAGTGACAAAATTAGCATTTAGAAGATATTAACATCAAAACCCTGCTGTTTGTCGCTTCCACTATTCAACATTTTTTCAGGTTTTCTCATTAAATCCTCTAACCAATCAAATCTAGTATCTGACATGTCCCACCCCCTTCAAGACACTTCTAATTTGATGCGTTTGAGCTCAACCACTCTCACTGAGAGAGCTGTGACAAAGCAAAACACTATTGGCTGTCATTTTTTTTAAAAGGGGAGGAACTATTCCTTGCCCCCCCCTGCCCCCCCCCCCCCCCCCCCCCCCCAATCTCCTTGTTTCAGTTGAGATTGTGTCAAACCAGTGTTGCTTTCGGAAAATGTTATTTTCTTTCAGAAGAGGACATACCAAATCTTGGGGCGACACACAAAAAAATGTAATGTTATATTTTTGTTTTTGGTTAATAGAATAATAATGGTTTTAATTCATTTTGAATAATAAGTCTTGAAATATTGCAGTTTATTCCTTGAAATAATTCAGCAAGTACATGTGCAAACCAAATAAAAATCTATATTTAGCTTAAAAACACTTTTCATGTTTATAAATAGGTTTTCAGTTATTTTTCACATACTTTTATTGTACAGCATTCGATATAATAAGTCTAAAATTAATGAAGGTTAATGAATTAATAAAACAAACAAATGAACAAACTGAGCAAAAGGCATTACTATATGCACACACACTTACTATACAGACCCGTACATATCATTTATACACATTCCTTTTTGAGCCACAAAATTGCTAATACAGATTCTTCTATTACTGTACCTTAAGGTAAATATTAAATTGCCATTGCTGTCTATTGAAGGTGTATGCGTGCCGTCAACGACGATCGGGGTGGGCGAGTGAATCAGCTATGTCAGTGGCACCAATCCATCCACAATAATTTAGAGGCTGCTATATATTTATTTATTTATTAAAATGTTGTGAATTGTACATTTAAATTAATAATATCAACAGGAAACTCATATTGGAGTGGTCATAAGGATGGCCATAGCCACCCCTTGGGGGCGCCCCTGTATCAAACACTGAATTAAAGTGCATATTTCAAAGCACTTCACAGGACCTTTAACCCTAATATACAATCTATTTTAATGCTATAAGTACTTGTTTTATACAAATTAGAACCAAGTTTTTTTTAGGTATTAGTACTTATTTATTAGAATTTACATAAATGCTACCTAATCAGTAGATAACCTACGGCTTATTCCAGCACTGACTAGTAACTAATTTAAAAACTATAAAACAAATCTTTTAAAATTGACACAAATTCCTAAACAATTACTAATAAATACTAAAAACAAGCAAAGATAGTTTCTAAGTGAAGAATAAGTACTACAACTGGTAACAAACAATAATAAGCATTATTAGCATAAAACTGGTACTTAAAAGACAGAGAAAGAAGGGAACAGTAATTTTAATTAGTCATTAAGATTTCACAAAACAGAAAAGTTGTGTAATGAAAGGTTTTAGATACACACCAGCTCATCTCTCTGGATTCCTGGAGACTTGTAGACCACCTGCTTCAGCTCTACTGAAGTGTTGATCTGAAGAACACACAAACACAAAATGAGGAAACTTTTAAAATGATAGCCAAGTGCGTGGTATTAAAAAGTAATGAATAGTTTTTAAAAGTTCTTCAAATTAACATAAGGCAGTAATTTAGTTATCCTAAATCAGCTATTCTGTTATGTATGTGATGTATTTATTTAATCAAACTCATTTCAATTACAAATGGTGACATCTAGTGGTAGCTGTGCAAGACTGCATACTGTAAATCCCATGGTGTCTTCTGCTGTAACTTTCCACCAGAATGCACATACGGTATACTGTACGTAGGGTGTATTTTGTTTGCTTTACCTACATTCACCAAAATATTAAATATATAAAAAATTCACACTGTGTGAGATTACTTTATTATTTAATCCAATGATTTTAACCGTATCGTTTATTTACAACATCATAAATTAATACAATTTCTTAATTTTTATTTAGTCATATTACTTTATTTAGTTATTTGTTTATCTATTAATTACAAAATTAAGTAGATCCTCAATCCATTTTTTGGGTAACACTACAATAAGGTTGTATTGGTTTGCATTTATTAACATAAACAAACGATGAACAATACATTAATTACAGTATCTGTTCATGTTAGTTAATGAAAATAAAGTTGTTCATTGTTGGTTCATGTTTATAATTATTTATAATTATAATTAATAATAACAAGCAGGAATTTGGATATTAATGCATTAGTAAATGTTTAACTTTAAGTATTGTTCATAATAAGTTAGTGCTTTTAAATACATTAACTAAAGAAACCTTATTGTAAAGGGTTTCCTATTTTTGCATTATTTAAATCGCATAATATTTATTTTTGCACAAAACTTCATACGGCCATATTTGACATGCAATAGAGTAGGTGACATAATTAGAAAATAGAAAAAAAATTGACAAGTACAGTTTTTGTTCTGTTGCAAATGCAAATGTGATATTGTGTCTAAGAGCAGATTTTGTCCAAACCTTCTCCTCATATTCATAAGTGGGTCCTCTCTCAGAGGTGGTGTAGTCATACTCGTCTACTGAAGAAACTGTGGACAAACACCAGTACAGTTGTTCAACATCGCATTCACACATGAAATATGTCACAGAACGAAAGAGATTTATAATTACCTTTCTTATCAACAGGCTGGGGATCTACAATGGGGAAAAATTAAGACAAAGGATGAAGGATAATTAACATAATACAACATAATTAACAGAATGCTAAAATGCTAAGCTACTTGTTTTAAAAGAAACTGAAACAACATGATTCTTGAGGTTTTTTCTTTTTCGGACAACTTAATTGTTTTATGTTCAATCCACTTAAATTTGTTGAGTTAACTTAATTGAATTGTGTTGGGGTAACTTGAATGAATTGCGTGGAAGCCTGCATTTTTTATAGTGTATTAAATTAAACTGAATTTTTGCAATATTTCTCTAAGTATGTTAGCTGATTACACTCTTATTTTGCTTACCATACTGTTTGCACCAATATATACTGTCCAAATTTAAAAGGAAATGCTTTTTTTTTTTTTTTTTGCTGCTTGTTCAAAATACTTTTTAATTTAAAGTTTGATGAAATAACGCAATTCTTGAGTTTAACTGGGGGAAAACTTCATTGTTTTATGCTCAAAGTTATCTTAATTAAATTGTGTTGGTGAAACATGAATTGAATTGTGTAGAACCCTGCATTTTTACAGTGTATTAAATTTAACCGATATTTTGCAATATTTTTCTTATCCTAAGTATGTTAGTTGACCACACTCTTATTTTGCTTACTATAACTGTTTATTAAATCAGTTTTTTAAACATGCATCAATATATATTGTCCATATTTAAAAGGAAATCGTTGAAGTCAGAATTATTAGCCCCACTTTGATTTTTTTTTTCTTTTTTAAAAAATTTCTCAAATGATGTTAAACAGAGCGAGGAAATTTTCACAGTATGTCTGATAATATTTGTTTTCTGGAGAAAGTCTTATTTATTTTATTTCGGCTAGAATAAAAGCAGTTTTTAATTAAAACAAAACATTTTTTGGGACAAAATGATTAGCCTCTTTAAGGTAATTTTATTTCGATAACCTACAGAACAAACCATTGTTATACAATAACTTGTTTAATTACCCTAACCTGCCTAGTTAACCTAATTAACCTAGTTAAGCCTTTAAATGTCACTTTAAGCTGTATAGAAGTGTCTTAAAAATATCTAGTAAAATATTATGTGCTGTAATCATGGCAAAGATAAAATAAATCAGTTATTAGAGATAAGTTATTAAAACTATTATGCTTAGAAATGTGTTGAAACAATCTTCCCTCCATTAAACAGAAATTGGGGAAAAGAATAAACGGGGGCGCTAATAATTCAGGGGGGCTAAAAATTCTGACTTCAACTGCATATTTGTATTTTTGCTGCTTGTTCAAACTATTTACTTAAAGTATGTTGGCAAAATTATTAATACAATTAAGAACCATGATGCCATATTTACGGCATCCCTCTAGTGGTGATAATTACATACTGCATCTTTAAGTGGAACCCAGCATTTATTACAGTTTGTGCTTACACAGTACATGCTGAGGTCTGTGTGTGTGTGTGTGTGTGTGTGTGTTTGTGTTTGTGTGTTTGTGTGTGTGTGTGTGTGTGTGTGTGTGTGTGTGTGTTGTACCGATGCGTGGTGGATATGGTCTGTTCTGGAAAGCTCTGTCCTCTTCCTCCTCATCGTCTCGCTCTTCTTCGCTCTCAGCAGGAAGCAGCTCTTCGGTGGTTCTCGTCTCAGAGAAGGAAGTGGTCATGAGTTCGCTGATGTCTCCTCTCTCTGTTCTCACTAACTCCTCTGCGCAGACACACAGAGTGAGTGAATGATTATTTGAGAATAGTTAGATTTGTGGGAAAATAAGACAAAAAGCCATCTTACGGATTTCGTCGTGGAGTTTTTCAGCCAGGCCGGGGACTTTGTAGAGCAGAGCCAGACTTTGGTTCATCCTCTCTTCAATCACATGCAGATGTGTGTACACCTGCAAACACACAACATTACTTTAGATATTTTTGTTTGTTATTTGGCAAGATCTACTAAAATTTATCTTTTTAAATATGAGTTAAGTAGATATATCTTATATAGATATCTTTGTTTCTACTGTATTCCTGTCATGCTGTGCTTGGTAGCTCCTCCCACACTAAAATCTCATTGGTTCAAAATCAAGCCTAATGAATTATTATAAATCATGCGCTTTAGACTTTGTGCCTAGATCGTTAAAATAGAGTGCCTAGATATTCGTCTCAAACCTGGAACTTCATCTGCTCTGCTTTCTGAGGGTCTGCAGACTCGATGTGCTGGTAATGACGAAGAGTGTGTCGTCTGTCCTTCTGCTCTGCGGCCATATAACGCTTCAGAGCCTGAAGCACACGGTCCGGCTGCGTGTTCATGTGTCAGAAAGCAGAAAGTTGATTTTAGTTTACATTGCATTCACAATTATAAAGAGATACCTTTGGTTTTAATTATATATTCATAAATGTTTAGATTAACATCAGCTAAAATTGCTAAATGCTGAAGAATTACTGTTTATTACTGCTTCATATTAACTAATCTTAACAATCGTCCTCTGAAATACCCTACTCTTTTCTTGTTCTGTGTCAGAATTGTCCTGTATTACTGCTCCCGTTGCTAGTATTACTGAACTACATTTCTTTTTTTGATGTGGAAATAGTGTACTATGTTTATAATGAAGAGCTGCACCTGTGGTGGGTCACTCTGCACAGCGCTCAGGTAGCTCTCCAGAGCCAGTCTGCGGTTGTTATTCAGGGTGGCCACCACTCGGGCCAGGTGTGTTTCCACCAGCCTCTGCCTCTCACCGGCCACCTGCTCCTCCAGAGTCTGCAGGACTGACTGGAAGTGCTGGAAATATTGAACAAATTTGGGAAAAAGTCAAAGTGATGACTATACAAACACAAGAGCCAGCATTTGCTACCCATTTCACTTTTGTTTTGTGATGCATTCTTAGTGAAACAGGATATTTAATATATTCCAGCATATATAATATCCATAAATGCAGTTTTCTGTATTTTGTTTTTCATGTTTTTATTAAATTTTTCCCCATTTATTTATGCTTTAAAATTGCAGCATGGGACCTTAATCTTTCTTCCAACAACTTTTGAACTTTGAAAAGTTTGAAAAGGTGACTTTTATTAACATTTTTAATAGTTTAACGTGATATATTGTCTGGGTTGGTGTTGTATATGACAGTTCAAAAATCTATTTCTGTTATTTTCTCCATATATTATTACATTATATCATTTCAAACATCTAAAATGTCAATAAAAGTAATTTTTTTTTTGGTGTAGAGTTGAGTTTTCAACATCAAAAGTCGACAAAGCTGAAATCAAGTTCCCATAATGCAATTCACAACCATAAATAAATGGAAAACACTTGTTAATCACAAAATAATGCCTTCAAAAGAAGAAAGAAACATGCAGATTTTGAACCACTTGAGCCAGGTTGAGTTTGTTAATTAGAATTTTAGGGGGGTATTTTATCCCTTTAAATGTGGCTGTTTCTTTAGTTTCCATTGTTTCAAAGAAGAGTTTTTGGCAGGATGTGAAGGATAAAGATCAATTTCATCTTCAGTAAATCTATCAGTATGTTCTATTGTTGCTGTAACCTTTATGTACATCATGTGCAAATCATTTTACTCTGAAATCAGACTGTTCAAGTAGATAAGATGCAGTCGTTTTAATTATAAGGGTCAGTCATAAGATAGTCATGAGAAACTAAATTAGGATTGTTTTGGTTCAAGCAGAAAGAAAACAAACTACAGGGATTGTAACAAAATCTGTAGACCTTTTCACTTTTATAGTGCTGTATGTTTGGGTTTGGTAAGAAAAGTTGCTGTGTTTTAATTTAATAAAAAGCAGAACAATTGCAATTTATTATTTGATTCACGATGCAAGATTATTTCAACCCAATTTTGGGTTAAATGGGGACTAACCCAACTCCTTGGTTAATTATTTTAATTAAATTTTAAGAGTTCACACTTAGCTGATGATTGATTATAAAGCATGTTTGGCATGCTTTCCCGGGAGAGAGCCCTGAGCTCAGAAGATCCTCGAGCCCGGGGCCACCTCCTGTTTGCAGGGCTAGGGGGGAGTTTGAGCTCAGGTAGGCCTAGAGAACTCCCCTGCTTTTTATGGCTAAAGATAAATTAGGGATTGGAGAGATATACTACTGACTAAAAGCTCATCTATGGTGCCAATTTTGCTTTAGTCAATTCACTCATGTCGCATGTCTTGGGGGAAACCCCCGTGAGCGCAAGAGAACATGTAATCTCCACACAGAAACATTGACTGTCCTGGGAAGGACTTGAACTAGTAACATTCTTGCTGTAAGGCAACAGTGCTAACCACTATGCTGCCACCATGCTGCCCTATCTAGGAAAAGGGTGTCACAGCTGCTTCAGTGCTCTCTGGTGGTCGTTAAGAGCACCAGCTCTTGCTTTGGTTTTTGTGTTTTGTATCGTAGTCATGCGATCACTCCTTGTTTCCAGCTGTTCCTCATTGTCTAATTAGTTCTTTCTTCATAAACCCTGTTGTTGTGTTTAGTTTGCCTTTGGATTTGCAATGTTCTGTCCTGCTTTATTTGTGGGTCGGTTCATCGTGTTTGGTTTGTTTGTTTGTTCCCTATGTTTTTAGATTCCTGTTTAGTTTTCGTTTGATTGACTCTTGTGCTTTAGTTTTTGCACTACACGTTTTCGTCAGTTTTGTTACCTTGCCTGTCCCCTTGTCATTTTTTGGATCTTTTTGCTACACTTGGATCTTTCCCTTGTTTTTGTGATACCCAGTCGTGACAAAGGGAGGAGTGAGGGGAATTGTCAAGGCGAAGATAACTGAGGTATGAAACTCTAACTATTTACAGTGACTTAGGAATTGTCTGATTGGTGAATCTGCGTTAGCTAATCCAGTACCAGCTGTGGTCAATCATAAGCATGTGATCCTCTTGAAATTTTACTAATAGGACCAATTATAACCAAATGTTTGTGTTTGTCCATATTTTACCCAGTTTGACATTTTTAGACTGTAAAAATGACACATTTATATTTGAATATATTTAAAATGCTATTTATTTCTATGATGCAAAGCTGAATTTTTGTGATTTATTAGTCATTTCTGGTTATTTACACATTTGAATTGGTGGGACCTTCATTGCAGCTACAAGATAACAGCATTTATCTGAAACAGAAATGTTTTGTAATGTTATAAATGTTTTTCCTGTCACCGTCTACTAATTTAATGCATCTGTACTGCATAAAATATTACAATTATTATCATCACACCGGTTAAGGGATATTTAAATACAGTTGAAAAAAATACTCACTACTTAGATATTCTCAAGTGATTTTAGACTTTTATCAGTTTATTTTTTTCTGTTGAACAATAAAGGGAGCTATTTTGAAGAATGTTGGAAACTAATAGCTATTCTAACTATTCCACAGTAGGGAAAAGAAAGTGATACTATTTGATTGCATTCTTCAAAATATATTCTTTATCTACCAACAAAAGATAAAAAAAAAAACTCATAAAAGTTTGTTACAAGTAAAGTAAAGGAGTAAATGATAACAGAATTTTCCTTTGTGGGTAAATTAATTAATTTCTGTACCTCATTAAGTGCCTGGCGATCAGATTTAGGCAGGTTCTTGGACTGGTTGTCTGCCTCTGCCCACTCCTTCATGATCTAAACACAAATAAAATCATGAAAGCCTCTTAAACACTGACATCTCATATGCATACAACAAAAAATAAGCTCCGCCTCCGTCACCTCATTGATGCGTTTCATTCGTCGTTCTTCCAGGTCCATCTTGGCACGGAGAAAGTTGGCATGTTCGCTGTCATCCCCTGGCATCTCGAAGTAAACGTCCACTCCATCTGTAGGACGAGGAGTGGGCACTAATGACAGAAAAAGAGTTCATTTAACACAAATCAGTAATTATTCAATCAATTATTCAATCAAAGAGGCAAAGAAGGATCACTAGGGCTTAGTGAGACTAAAGCAGTATCGATACAAGCAGTGTGCTTACTTTAAACAGTCCCTTCAGGATTTGGTACTTCTTAAAGCACAGAATTTATTGTAAAAGCAAAGCAAATGTGTAAAATGTAATTTGGATTAATTTCCATTAATATTTGGACAGATTTAAATGTGTCATGTGACATCATCTCAATATAAAATTGTCAACAGTTTGATGATTGAGTCCTTGGAACAAATATGATATAGACATTACATAGACATATATAAAAATATGAGTAGACATTATACATTTAGGAGGTAAACACTTGAAGAAGTATGTAAATATCGCCACTAGAGGGAGCGTATTCACAACAAACAAAGGCGTAGTTTGATAATGTCATTAATGTGGCATCATGGAAGTTGTGGTCTTTATTGCATCCTACAGAACTCCAGCAATATCATGGTTCTGTTTTAATGCTGCTCTATTGAGTCTAATGAAACACACAATATATTAAAGCGTCTTTGATGTTCTCCTGTTTTCTACTAAACAAAACAAGAAATTACTGTGTGATGTCATTAGCATGGAGTCGCAGTAGATTTTAGCATTCTTTGAAACAATTTGGAATAATGTTAATTTGCAAAATATATATCATATTAATATATTACAGAGTGCAAAGTTTCTGAGGTTGTAAAGTAATACACATTCCACAATAATGTTGTTTGTGTTTTTCACTGCAAAAAAAAAAACAAAAAAAAAAACAGAAGCATGCTCACTGAAATCCTGGAGCACTATTTGAACCTTTTGTTTATGAGAGTGAATAAAATTACCATGAAATTAAAATAAAAATACTTAGATGTTAGTTTTAAAGATATATCCCCAGCAGAAACACAATATCATAAGACGTTAATATTAGGTTAGATTTATGTCGCCAGTGTCTAAGGACAATGTTATTTTGACGTCCAGTAATGATGTGAAATGACGTTGATTTTAAGTTGTGTTAGAAAGCGATCAAACTCCAACGTTGAGCCAATATCTTAAACCAACGAAATGTTATATTGACGTCAAATACTGGCATTCATTCGTCAGGTATAGCAACCAAAATCCAATGTCTGATAGATGTCATAGTGTTAACCAGGCCCGGATTGTCAAATCGGGAGGACCGGGAGAATTTCCCAGTAGGCCGGTCTGTTTTTTGGCCGCGAGGGCCAGTGTCCCTATAGCTGCTTGCACTCTCAGCACTTGCACTTTTTTCATTTATTTATTTATCTGACCATAGCCTTACTCTTTATTCATTATTTTGCCGCAGTTCCACTCTTTTTATTGATTTTCTCGCAGCCCCGTGAGACAAATGCAGCCTGCAGGTTAATGACGAAGAATAATTAATATGAATGAATATTACACCTGCTCAATGAAAATCATGATTCACTACATTAATAAATCTGACATAACTTGATCAGAAATCTAAAAAGGGGAGAAAAAGATGAAGCCATCAGATGACCGTGCAATACTTTTTTATTCCAAGTGCATTTGCATAACAGTGCCTTTGTGGTTCAGGTTCGCATGTTGCGTTATGACGCCGCTGACCCAAGTTCGAACCTTACCTGAGAAAACTTTTTTTAGTGTTAAGACATATAATACTGTTTGGGTTACTTATATAAGTGTACATATTTTACTTTTAATATTTGTGTGACCTCCGTTACAAAAGACTGAATATCTATAAAGAATTTTGCACAGAATATATATTCAGATCTTGCAGGAAAGCACATTGTGATGTTTTAAAGAATAGTGTTGGAGATTTAGCTACACTTTAAAGTTCTCATATTTACGAAAAAACATTTGAAGTTCTAAAGCAGCTGTGTCCTTGAATATAGTGTCATTAGAAACTGAATTGGAAATGATGTTATTTTAATATAGTCAGTCGTGAACTGAGGTGGGCTGGTCTAAGGCTTAAATCTACAGGGCTGAAAAGGAGTCCCACTCCGGCCCTGGTGGTAACGTCCACATAACATCAAGCTGCAACATCTTTAGACATTAGTGTTGGAAATAACCAAAATTCAACTTCTGTCTAATGTTGGGTTCGGACGCCAACCCGATTTTTATTTTTAAACAAAATGCAACATCCCACGACGTTGGGGTACAACGTAAATCTGACGTCATGTTGATGTGCTGTGCCTGCTGGGTATTAACTAGTGTGCTCCAAAACAGAGATAAAATTGCCGTTTAGAAAATGTAAAACTGACATAAACATCCAAAGCTTGCAGCTTGTTATTTTCACCTAAATCGATCAATATTTTTTTCTCATCACCTCCTACTGCAGTTTCTCATCAAATCGTGACCAATCAAATGCTTTCTAGTATCTGACATGTCCCGCCCCCTTCAATAACCTTTTTAATTGATGTGCTTAATCTTGAAAATGCCGGAAATTTATTTACATTTACAGAATTTATGGCAAGATACAAAATTCCTGTTACATTACAGGAATTTACTATTCTAACCGGGGCAATACCTACTGGCATACATATGCTGTACAAAGGCAGTGTATGTACATCAGCACTTACTGTTTGTCCTCCTAAACCTGAACAAACCTCGGTTGGGTTTATCTGTTTCTCTGGATTTAAGCCTAATAATCACAAAATTAGATCTTAATCTTAAAAGAAAATATGTCTATACCGTATGTTATTTTTTACTGGAACAATATCTTTAATAACATAAACTGGACTCAAGTTTGGTCATTACCTCAAAATTTTTTTATCACAAATAAGGCTAAAGAAATATCATTTAAATTACTTCATAGAGTTTATCCCACAAAATTATTTCTAAAAAAATTTAAAATTGATATTGATTTAGAATGCTGTTTTTGCGAAAGCTTTAATGAAACTATTTTACATTTATTTTGGTCTTGCCAATATACTCGACTATTTTGGATCAATGTTGAAGCTTTTATTGCTCATAATATCTTAAAAACCTTTTCCTTATCTTATAAACATGTGATTTTGGGTTTTTATGTTAAGGATCGCTCTTTAAAAGATGCTGGTTTTATTATAAATTTTATTTTATTATTATGTAAATTTCACATACATAAAGCCAAGTTTTCCAAAAGCACACCTCTCTTCATGGTGTTAGAAATAGAGATTCAAATGTATATAAAAGTGATTTCCAAGTCTCAAAATAGAAAAGCAATTAAAACAATTAATATATGCTCCTCCTTTAACATTTTTACATAAAATGTTTGTATATATGCATTTCCTGTAAAAAAAAAAAAAAAAAAGTGAATTGCTAACTCTTGTAAATAACTAAAATTATAAAATGTGCGAAACATATTTGTATGTAATTTGTATTGTGTAATAATAATTATTACATAATGCAAATTAATTATTATGTTATTATGTACCCTATCCTCTGTTTTTTTTCTCTCTTCTCCTTTGTTTTTTCACTTATTTCATTCCTGTTAAGAAATGTAATGTGATTGTATTGTATTGTATAAGAAAACTGTACATGCTTGTTCTTGTTAATAAATAGAAAAAAAAAATTGATGTGCTTAATCTGAACCCCTCCCATTGAAGAGCTGTGATAAAATTACAAGAAAAAAGAGGAGGCGCCCACCCTTCAATAAAGATTACGTCCAACATCAAATATAAATTGCAGTTTTCAAAGCACTTCATGGGATCTTTAATGAGGAAGCACCAAAATGTGCTGCCGCTTAACCTCAAGCATTCTGTTTAATCTCCGCTGAGTGTGTGTGAGAAAATGTATGACCCCTGACATATTAAATATGACTTAGACTCACTGTTGTCCATCCGTGTTTGAGGCTGGGTGGAGGCTTTGGCAGTCTGGAGATTCTTGTCATAGTAGAAGTTGTCCATATAGTCTTGGCCCTGTAAATGAGAGTCGATGGGATACTCGTACTCCTCCTGGTATTTGACCGTGGTGGCGGTTTCCTCCTCCTCAGCTTCCTCGACCTCAGCCGCTGCTTCATTATTGCCTTCCTCTTCCTCCTCCTCTTCCTCCTCTGCTTCTTCCTCCACCACCTCATCCTCTTCCTCCTCCATATCGTCTTCCTCGATGTCCGTCTCAGGAGAAGGGCTGGGAGTCGGCGGTGTTGTTTTCACACTGATTGAATAGAAAGGATTTTAGTTCACTGGATTTAGTCAAGTCAAGATGAAACCAGTGTGATTAGAATCTCAAAGGAATGATTCATATGTATAGTGACTCCTTTTATGGAATCAAGTATCAAATGACACTTCTACTGTAGTTGATTCAAGTTTAAAATGTGTAGTCTGGAATAAATGACTCTTATGAAGTGATTCTTTTAGTAAATCAGCGTACAGTGAACCAAAAATGATTTGACTCTTTTGAAGCGATTCTTTTTTTAAGAGACTCAAACATTTAGATCACAATTAGTGTAGTCTGATTCTTAAACAAATGTTTTTTCAGTGAATAAAACACAACAAGGTTAAGTCAGGTATAGATTCTCATTTAATGTTCAGTTAATGTTCAATCAGTCCTTTTTGTTAGATCAAAATCATACTTCACAAGAAAAGTATAATTCGCAATTGAGTGAATAATGAAGCGACTGATAATACATAAACTCTAAAGCCTAAAAATAATACATATGCCTCTAACAACTAAAAAATTAGTTGACGGAAAGTTTGGTCTTAATGAGTTATTTAAAGTGATTCAACTGATTCAAAGTGGCTGAATCATTTATTAAATGGAACTGTCTGTATAAATTGATCATTAAACCAATTGGGTCTCTTAATTCGATCACAAACAGAAAATACCTCACTGCGGTTCTGAGATGCACACATTTTCTGCTCTGGATTTAATTTAGAACAGTTTTTTAATTGTAAATTGCGTCTAAAATACTGTATAAACCTACTCTGCATTAGCAAAACATTTATTGAGCTATTATATAAAATCAATACCTTAGTTGATTGATCACATCGAACAGTCATATTTTGGAAAATTGCACTCTTGTTTGTGTGACATTATTGTTTATAGCCTATCATAAACACTCACCAGCCACTTTATTAGGTACAAACTGCTCATTTACACAAATTTCTAATCAGCCAATCACACTGCAGCAACTCAATGCATTTAGGCATGTAGACATGGTAAAGACACTCTGCTGCAGTTCAAACTGAGCATCAGAATGGGGAAGAAAGTTAATTTAAGTCACTTTGATGGTTGTTGCTGCCAGACGGACAGATATGAGTATTTCAGAAACTACTGATCTACTGGGATTTTCACGCACAACCATATCTAGGGTTTACAGAGTATGGTTCGAAAAGAGAAAATATTCAGTAAGCGGCAGTTTTGTGGGCACAAATGCCTTGCCAGAGGTAAGAGTAGAATGGCCAGACTGGTTCGAGATGAATGAAAGATAGTAACAGTAACTCAAATAACCACTTATTACTTCGAGGTGTGCAGAAGAGCATCTCTAACCGCTTACAGATAGGCTACAGCAGCTGAAGACCACGCTGGGTGCCACTCCTGTCAGCTAAGAACAGGAAACTGAGGCAACAATTCGCACAGGCTCACCAAAATTGCACAATAGAAGATTGGAAAAACGTTGCCTGTCTGATAATTCTCAATTTCTGCTGCAACATTTGCATGGTAGGGTCAGAATTTGGCATCAACAACATGAAAGCATGGATCCATTCTGCCTTGTATCAACGGTACAGGCTGCTGCTGGTGGTGTAATGGTGTGGGGGATATTTTCTTGGTACACTTTGGGCCCATTAGTACCAATTGAACATCATGACAATGAGTTCACTGTACTTAAATGGCCTCCACAGTCACCAGACTCAATCCAATAGAGCAGTTTTGATAGCAGAATTGGTCCAACTCTGGGCTAAGGTGTGCCTAATAAAGTGGACAGTGAGTGTAAAAAAAGAAACAAAAATGGCTTTCATTACTTAAATTGCAGTGACAAATAAACTAATATACTTATATGCATAAAACATTTTATGAATTTTTTTTGTTAAATGAATGATTCGCCAACATAATTCTGTCATAATTTACTCATCTATGTGTAGTTTCACATCTGTAGGACTTCCTTCTGTAGAACATTTAAAGATTTGTTTTGTTCATATATTGAAGGGCAATTCATTTCCATAAATTAAATTGGCACAATTATACTGTAGCTTTATTGAATTGGATGATTCACAGAAAAAAAAAATGTTAATTTCATACATTTTATGTTGTATATTGTACAATTCATATGCAGGAGGTCATTGAAATATAAAGAAATGGCAAAAAAAAAAACATATGCCAATTTAAATACGGGTAATTTAATAAATATTTATGTTAAGTCTTATTTTTTGGTTAGTTTTGAACATTTTAGAACAGCTCCTTTCACGCCATATTTATTATTTAGCACTCTTTCCACCACTGACTACTATAGAAAAACCATCACATTTACCTGGTGATAGTTTTGTCTCCAGCCATAGACACGAGTGGTGTTGTTTCTCCCTGCACAATATCTGCGGTCTCTGTTTCTCCACGTCCACTCGATCCTGTCCTGCCAGGACAGCAGACATATTCCACACCGCGAAAACGGTCACCGCAAGGCAACAGCATCCCATAACTGTGCAGCTCCAGACTGTCAGCCGTGCAGGCCTGAAGAGCAAAGATGGAGATGAATGACTGCGGCAGCCCTTTAAAAAACTGCCATTATTTCTGCTTTTTATCTTTCTGTAATTGCGCATTCGTGCCGGGTCGAAATGACCTACAAAAACTCAACAAATGAGAAACCCTGAGTACCAGGAGATGCTGGCGAAAGTGCAGAGCGGAAATGAGAATCAGGAGATCATAGATCACAGCGGGGCATTGCAATTTCACCGGCCTCACACTAACCATTAAAGATGCAAAGCCATTAAAGCTGAATTTCAGCGCTAATGCTTTTTTCAGGTTGCAATTTTCTGAGCTTTTATGATTTACCTCTTTGGCGATGTTGTGCCAGTACACGTAGCTCTCGCAGGAGTCCATCTGCTCCTGGTGTAAGAAACGGCAACGGTCTGGAACCAAAAGAGCCTCGCTGACATATTCACCTACTGAGAGACGGAAAAGGACAGAATTAGAGGGAAAAAAAACATTGTGATTGTTTATAAAGATTGCATGTTACCTTCAAATATCAAGAGGTCAGTACGGGTTAATTAATCTGTCTGAAAAAATCTGCTCCAACCCTAGCTTTTCTTCCAGGGTGCATCAAAACTTTGTTGTTGCTTTTGAAAATGTCCTGTTAATGTGTCTCTTTCATGTTTTCATTCAGTTTTGTTTTCTGTTGTTTTGTTTTTCTGTACAGCACTTTATAAGGTATAAAGAATGTGCTTTATAAATAAATTGAGTTGAGTAATTTAGGAAATAAATTCATTTTATTTTTATTTTGTAGGGATTCATTCAATTCCCTGTGTTGGCATGGGCTTCTTCCATGTGCTCCGGTTTCCCCCACAGTCCAAAGACATGCGCTATAGGTGAATTGGGTAAGCTAAATGGTTTGTGGTGTGTGTGTGTAAATGAGTGTGTAAGGGTGTTTCCTAGTAATGGGTTGCCACCGGACAGTCATCTGCTGTGTTAAAAACATTTGCCAAAATAGTTGATGGTTCATTCCACTGTGGCGACCTCTAAAATAGAGACTAATCCGAAGGAAAATGAATTAATGAATGTGAATTCATCTTCATATTGGCATTTCTTCACCTTGAAAGGAATGTCAATAAGCTTATGGGTGTCAGTTTGTCGTTTCCAATGGAGGCACGCATCTTGCAACACAAATAGGGAGCGGCACACACATGATGCACTTGCCTTTTCCAGGTTCACCTAGTTAATGCAGCGTGTGCACCATGATTCACAATTTATAATGTTGCAATATGTATTTAATTAATTATGGTTGGTTACTTTACTTGAAAGCTCAGATTTGATTATCAAAACTAGTTTGTTGACAGAGTTTGAGGTTTACTGTATTATTCTAATTGACACCTTACAGGCGTTGATCTACCTTTACCATTGCACACACTTTGTAATATTTTATTCATCAAGTTTAAGAGTCTCTTTAACACTTATGTGTATTTTATTGCGATGCGATATTTTGTTAAGATATTTTGTTGTTTTTGACCAATAAAACTATTTTCCTTTGTAATATTGGTAAATTAAAATTAACAGGTTGAAAAATCCCAACATTTCTAAATGGATTGTTAAAAAATCTTTAATATTTATTGATACTGAATGATATGAAACATGATATCGTGATAATTTGTTCTGTTGTATCACCCAACACAGTATATATATATATACACACACATATTTATATACACACACACACACACACACATATATATATATATATATATATATATATATATATATATATATATATATATATATATATATATATATATATATATATAGATATATATAAATAAAATAAACAGGGGGCTAATAATTAAAGAGGTTTAATAATTCTGACTTTAGCTGTATATATATGCTGAAAATTAAGTGTTTCATTTTAAAATGTAAACAAATAGAAAACTTGTTTTAAACTGCAATAATTTTCCCATTATTACTCTATTTTTATCATATTAGTAGTCGTTTAAGTTATAATAACATTTTGAATACATAAACAGATTCAAAGAATGAGAAATGAGGAAGACAAGACTGGAGTGTGAAAAAAGTGGCGTTAGCATTTTCGCCAATGCCCACGTGAGCTGATGTGGCATATATGAGAAGTGTGAGCTCAAAATATGTGCAGTATGTGTGCAAAAACCAAGGACAAAAACCAAGCCCCTCAGAGCCAAACAGCTGCACAAGCATTACATATTCATCAACATTAGTACTGAGCCAACAGATTCATGCTCTACTTATTTATTTTTGGTTGTGATATAACACTCGGTCGTAAGGCATAGCAGAATACAGAGTACTACAAAAACTGTCCTGTCATTTTACACAAACATGTTTATCCTCACAGTTTATTTTTAAAGGAATAGTTCAGCAAATAAACCGAGCAAATTTGGGGTAAACTGGTCCTTTAAATATCCATCAAATTATCCCTGGAGAAATGGATGTCCCATTTCCTATTTCTCCCAGAAATGGACATCCCATATATATATTCCGCTGTTGCGACCCCAGATTAAGAGACTAAGCCGAAAATAAAATAAATGAATGAATAGTTATTGTTAAAAAAATGTAGTTGTGTAGAAAATGAAGGGAGTTTTTTAATTTCCAGAACTGGAGTGTTTTATTCAGGCTGTGTTTGTAACTCACCCAGACACCGGTAGGGCACCACGATGAAGGTGCGGGTCTGACAGTGACCCCAGCCCTTCTTACACCAGCCCTGGATGGTCGCCGGTGATGAAGCCTCTTCCACATGAGAGATCTGCAGTCCTGGATACATCTGACATACAGAAGAACCACACACACACACATGCATAAGGGATGAGCAGGGGACAGGAGCACAACAACAGGAATCAACTATTCATCATGCAGAAAACACTAAGAACAAGGGAATGAGGAGGAAAGAATGGAAAGAAGTGAAGAGCACTCTAAAAAAAAAGCCATGGGAGCCTATTGAACACGATTGATCACCGCATAGTGTTCAAATCAGCGGCACGATGGAGCAGTGGTTAGCACCACACCAATAGGTCGCTGGTTCTAGTTCTGGCTGGGCCAGTTGGCATTTCTGTTTGCATGTTCTCTCCGTGTTGGCTTGGGTTTCATCCGGGTGTTCCCGTTTCCTTCAAAGTTCAAAGACATGAGGTGAATTGAATAAACTAAATTGAGTGTAGTGTGTGAGTGTAAATGTGAGAATGTTTTCCCAAGACTGCGTTGCGGCTGGAAGGGCATCCGCTTATGTAAAACATAAGCTGGAATAGCTGGCAGTTTATTCCACTGTTGCGACCCCTAATAAATAAGGGACTAAGTCGAAGAAAAATTCATGTTTCAAATCAGAAATTGTTCACCAACAGTATTGTATAAGACAAAAATAAATCCCATAATTTTTGCTCAATTTATTTTTAGTTTAATAACATTCATAAATATGCTCCCTTTCAATTTACATCACATTAAACCTAAATTGACCTAAAACATCAAGCTGAATCTCATATAACTGATAAAGGATGGTTGACCCCTTTTAGTAACTTGAAAGCGAGGCTTTTCACAATATTTCACAATATGTGTTTATCGGGTAGCTTTGTGTGAAAAATTTGTCTTCACCATTTATTTATTTTTTTCAGATTAGCTGCACTTCAAAATGTTTTTTTTTATATCATAAGTTTATTTATGGAATATTTTAGAATAGTATTATTGGCATAGAAAATTATACACAAAATAACATAATACTGGCGACGCAGTGGCACAGTGGGTAGCACGTTCGCCTCACAGCAAGAAGGTCGCTGGTTCGATCCTCGGCTCAGTTGGCGTTTCTGTGTGGAGTTTGCATGTTCTCCCTGCGTTCGTGTGGGTTTCCTCCGGGTGCTCCGGTTTCCCCCACAGTCCAAAGACATGCGGTACAGGTGAATTGGGTAGGTTAAATTGTCTGTAGTGTATGAGTTTGTGTGTGTATGTGTGGATGTTTCCCAGAGATGGGTTGCGGCTGGAAGGGCATCCGCTGCATAAAAACTTGCTGGATAAGTTGGTGGTTCATTGCGCTGTGGCGACCCCGGATTAATAAAGGAAATAAGCCGACAAGAAAATGAATGAATGAATGAATGTATAACATAATACTGCTTCTTAACCCTTTGACTGCCCCTCTACCAAATATTTGACCGTGTTTTTACTGCTATAAATAACGACTGTTAAAGTCATTTAAAGAATGACTGAATTGTTGGATTACAAAATAAAATCAAACATAACTGCTTGTTTTTTTGTTTTGTTTTTAACAATAATATCATAATCAAGAAAACCTGATAAATGAGAATCTGAAATATTTTATGGCAAAATTAAAAAAAATAAAGATGATTTAGTGTTCAAAAATGTTTGATTTTTAACATTTACTTTGAAGGAAATTGGTCTTACACTTCATATATTCAGATTTTTCATAGCATATGTATTAAGCTCGACATAAACCGACATATCAACCATTTGGTAGAGGCTGATATTTTAGAAATTATGGGATGTGTTGAAAAAAAATGCATAAATTGTGTTAACTATAGTGACATTAGGAGTTAGGGAATGCAATCCAAACATTGTTTTCTTGGTGGGGTAGTCAACGGGTTAAGAATCTTAAAAAATCTTGTTACACTGAAGACTGGAGTAATGATACTAAAAATTAAGTGTTATATCCCATAAACAAATTACATTTAGTTATCTGAACCAAACATGAAATTAATAACAAGTCAGAAAAACACAACTGAAGACAAAATTAGTCCTACTTTAAAAATTTCCCAGTGATGCTTTTTTTTTTCAGTACTTCCTATTATATTTTTATACAAACTGCTAAGGTCAATATTATTAGCTCCCTTAAGAAATATATATGTATAGATTTTTTTATGTTGTGCAGTGTCTAATTAACCTAGTTAAGCCTTTAAATTGCACTTTAAGCTGAATATATCTCTCAAAATAGACTAAATAAATTATAAACAGTTTATTAAAGCTTAACTTTAGGCTTAAAAAATGTATTGGAAAAAAATATTCGATATATTTACAAAGCATTTTGCCTTCGACGATATATTTAGCTGATTGACGCTTTTAAACTGCAATCCCTGGTTTGAACCCCAAGAGGGAACCATTGAGTCAGTAATGCCTAGACTGCAGCACTTTAAACTAATAAGAGTCCAAATATTAGTTTAGATCCAGCAGGAGGCGCTCTAAATCTCATTGCGCATTACTCCTGTATTTCCAAAGCAATTACGCCTCACCTTCAAAACATGTTTGCAGGGGCCCTGAGTCATACTGAGTCATCTGAACATTATTAGGATTTATTTACGGTTCAATAATGAAGCCATAAATAAAGCGAATAAAATAAATCACAGATGAGAGGGAGTTTAGGACGAGAGGTAAAGATGAACAGAAATGCATACGTATATTCAGGAATATACACAAGCATATTGCCACAAGAGGTTTGTTGATTCACTATATATAGTTTGTACATATATAGACTGGATTTGACGAGACAAGGTCACAGATATACAACATTAATAACTACAATAAAATAAATGAACAGTAATCTTTTATACTATTATTATCTTCCAAAATTCACAATGTCCTTTGGAAATATATATAATAATAATAAAAAAATAAATTATGTATAAAATGTATGATAGATAGATAGATAGATAGATAGATAGATAGATAGATAGATAGATAGATAGATAGATAGATAGATAGATGATAGATAGATTATGCATAAAATGTAATAAACAAATTACAAGCATGGATAAATACAAAAGAGATTTTACAATTTAGTACCTTTTGAAAAGGTACCACCCCAGTGACAGCTTGCATGCCTTTATTTCTGAGAGTGTAGATAAATTGATCGATACTATATGTATTGTTTTCAGATCTACAATATTAAGAAAAATACATATATATTTTTAAAATGTTATTAGTTTATGAAGTAGAAGATTTCAGTTAGAGCCTCTAATATTGTCAAATTAATTTTTATATATACATATACAGGGTTATAAATATTTGGACTTCGACACTTTACTAACATTTTTGGCTCTATCAACACAATCGATTTGAAATGAAACCAACAAGATGTGCTTTAACTGCAGACTGTCAGCTTTAATTTGATGGTTTTTACATTCAAATCAGTTAAACACTGTAGGAATTACAACAGTTTGCAAATTTGCTTCCCACTTGTTAAGGGTCCAAAAGTAATTGGACAGAATAATAATCATGAATCAAACTTTCACTTTGTAATACTCGGTTTCAAATCTGTTGCAGTCAATTACAGCCTAAAGTCTGAAACGCATATACATCACCAGACTCTGGGCTTTATTCCTGGTGGTGCGCTGCCAGGCCTCTACAGCAACTGACTTCAGTTCCTGTTTGTTCTTGGGGCATTTTCCCTTCAGTTTTTTCTTCAGTAAAAGAAATGCATGTTCAATCAGATTCAGATCAGGTGATTGACTTGGCCATTGCATAACGTTTTAACGTTTTATTCGATTTAAAGTTTTTTTCATTTCAAATATACTGCTTTATTTTTTTGTTTTTAATTCAATGTTTTAAATATTAATTTTTTTTTAAATTCAATTTCATCCTTTTTTCATTCAATTTAATGTTTTCCAATATTCCATTATATATATATATATATATATATATATATATATATATATATATATATATATATACATATATATATATATATATACTCTGGATTTTATCTTATTTTAATTAGTTTTATTTATTTTAATGTTATTTTAGTTCTGTATCAAGCACTATTTATCCTTTAAAGGGCCATTTTCTTAGTTAAAACATGTGAAAATGACCTGTCTCAATATTTACATGTATAGTTATGACTAAATATGTTATTCATACTCCTGCATTTCACTGTACTCACAATACAGAACAACCTTGATTTTATTACAGCTTCATTATGACATCCTGTTCAAATTAAAATCTCGAGGAACACACAAATACTCTTTAATAAAAAAAAAACAAAAAAAAAAAACAGTATTGTCTAGGGTACATGCGTGCACTGAATCCTTTCTCACTGGGCTGAAGCGAGAGCGAGTGTAATCTTACAGACATATGGGAAGGGATTATAATGTTCTAAACAAGCTCTGGCAGCGAGGCCTCCGTCCACTGGCAGACCGCCTGCGGATCCAAACACCATCCAGCCAGGAGAATGACATATTCTTTGGCCTCTTCATTCAATTTTGATGCCACTCGTGCCAGCCATAGCTTATGTATATGCCTATTCGTGCCAGGGTAGGATGCGGGCACAATAATGCTTTTAAAAGGCATTAAGCAGAACGACTGGTCGACTGGTTCAGCCCAGATTAGTACACAACGAGGTGATTTTATAGTGCAGACCTAGAGACAGCATGTTGTTGATTCAGACAAGGTTGAGCAGACATTGCTGGCACTTTTCATTGCATACACAGACAAAACACACTTTATTTTATTTTTTCAGACAGACATCTCAATCTTTAGAATTGCCGTCATGCACTAATAATATAGGCTTAGTGTTTTGTGTGCTGATTTCAGCCATGAAATATGCGCAGTCGTATTTTAGCGAGATGCTTTGCTGTATTTGGCAATAGAGTTACTGAATGACCAGAAGAATGCAGCAAAGCGTGGATTTTTTTTCTTTTTTCAATCACATTATCCATCAGGAATGCAGTGGAAATTGGCATTGCACAACATTACAAATCCACAGGGACGCAGGGGGATGCTGTTTTGCAGTGTTGATACCCTAAAGCAGGGGTGCCAGACTCAAATTAGGTTGATGGTTTGTATCTGAGAATATGTCCCCTGTGGTGGGCTGTCCTATTATGCTTTTTCACTTTCACTCAGTGTGTCGTTTTTTTCAAAAACTACAACAAACGGCTCATTTGGACTACAAGCTTGTTTACTGGGATTTAATGATTTTGATAACAATGTCAAATAATGCTGGGTTCTGGCAGCTAGCTCTAGTATCTCTCACATGGTCGCCCACTGAAGCTAAGCAGGGCTGTGCCTGGTCAGTACCCTAATAGGAGACCACACGGGAAAGCTAGGTTGCTGCTTGAGGTGGTGTTAGTGAGGCCAGCAGGGGGTGCTCAAGCTGTGGTCTGTGTAGGTCCTAACACCCCAGTATAGTGAAGGAGACTCAATACTGTTCAGTGAGTGACGTCTTTCGGATGAGACGTTAAACGGAGGCCCTGACTCTCTGTGGTTGCTTAAAATCCTAATTTTGCCCACTGGCTTCTGTCCATCATGACCTCCTAACCGTCCCCATGTCATAATTGGCTTCATCACTCGGTCTTCTCGCCACCAATCAGCTGGTGTGTGGTGTGCGGTCTGACGCAATATGGATGCTGTGGCGTCATCTAGGTGGATCCTGCACACTGGTGATGGATGAGGAGATCCTCCCAATGTGTAAAGCGCTTTGCATGTCTAAAAAAGTGCTATATAAATGTAAGAAATTATTAATATTATTATTATTATTATTATTATTCCATAGAATCAATTTGTGTTTGCACCATGGGCATTGCTAGGCCACTTTTAGACCCCTTATATTTCTCTTCAGCCCCCCTAAAACTTGTTAGCTCATGAACTGTACTGTACACCACTAAATTATCTAATATACACTAAATTATTTAATATATATTATTTATAAATTGAATAGTTTTGTCTTTATTGGATTGAAATTACCTAGCATTTTATAGTATATTTTACGAACCATAAATGTTTTGTTTAGCAAGTATGTTTATGTATTCAATTGTTTATCTAAGCTTACGCCAATCACAACGCACAACACATATTGTTTTTTAGATGACTGATCTTAATCAAACCTGGAACTAGCTTGTGCAAGGTTGGACAGAAAGGTACTGTAATAATGTAAATTATGCGAAAAAAATGATAATATGTTTTTTGAACCAATAAGCATGAGAGCGTGTTTTAGTTCACTCCCCAAACAGAATCAAGACTTTATGAAGAAAGCATATTAGGACCATTTTAAACCTTATTTTGGCCACAACCACTTTATTAACTTTGTTTTTTTTTAATATAGTAAACTCTATAACATTTACAAGAACACTGTAAATGTTTTTATGTTCAAAGAAAGTGCAACAGTAGCTCATGTTGGAGCTATTGACCTTATTCTTTATTGCGGAAGTGCTACCGTTTTCGCAATTGTTTTAAACCTTCCGCAAAAAACGATCAAACTACTTGCTCTACAAACAAGTGTTTGCACGACTACAGACAAAATAGAATAATATAATAAGCTAGCAGCATAACGAGCAGTTTTGAATGTCTAAAAATGAATGGAAGCGAATGAACAAACCATTGTTATACAATAACTTGCCGAATTACCCTATCCTGCCTAGTTAACCTAATTAACCTAGTTAATCCTTTAAATGTCACTTTAAGCTGTATAGAAGTGTCTTGAAAAAAATGTCTAGTAAAATATTATTTACTGTCATCATGGCAAAGATAAAATGAAGTTATTAGAAATGAGGTATTAAAACTATTATGTTTAGAAATGTGTTGAAAAAATCTTCTCTCCGTAAAACATAAATAGGGTGTCTAATAAACTGTATATAAGAAAAAATATTATCAGGCATACTATAAAAAGGTTCCTTGCACTATTAAACATAATTTAAGAAATATATATATATATATATATATATATATATATACCTAAGCATGCTATTATGTTGACCGGAATAGAGGTAAATAAATATTACACTGACGGAAAATTAGATATTCATTGACTTATTAATTCAAATGATTCGTTCAAAATCGCTGATTCAAAGTATTAAGTAATGCTTTTGAAATGGGTAATTCAGGAATCAGGAATCTCCAAATACTTTTTAGTTTGTTATAAAATCAGTTCTTTTCACTAATGCTTGTGTCATGTGATAATACACTTTGCATTAAAACAACAAAATTCAAAAGGCGTTTTTGCCTCCATGTAATTTATACTTATATATTTGACAAAGACATTATAATATCACATATTCTTTTCCACTCCACTTATGTCCTATAAGCTATAATAAATTTCATAGTGAGTACATTTTATGTAATTTAAAAAAAATGATATTTTATTAATTGCTTTATTTTTTTATTGCTTAAATAATCAATTAGGCAAGATTAGATTGCTTTGTTTTACTTTGACACCTACGGTACATGAAAGTAGTTGAGAACGCTCAAATAAACTTATCAGACAAACAACCAGGCACTATTACTCATTTCTAATTTCTCTAGACGAGACAACAGGGAAAGAAATCTTGCAATCCTCTTAGGAGTCCGAGAATATAGTCACATTAGCCGCACAATACGTTTGAGCCCAGGGAGAGAGGAGACCATAAATCTCCAGCGCTGATTGATGGTGAAGAATATGGCCATTATCCTGCACACTTAATACGGAGAGATTTGCATCGAGTTGCCTGTGTATGCACATAAGCGGCGTTGCACATTTAAGTCTTGTTTTACAATGCTAATATTAGAGCAGGCTGTCCTCGGCGTTCACCTTGAGAATATGCCTGAGTGGAGATTGTCTGAGGATGCTTGTCCACATAATAATTAAAGCAATCACAGTGCATGATAATGTACGTGCGCAGAGTTTGATGTTTCACGCTTGACTGAAATTAATTACACGAGTTCAGCAGAACAAAATAAAAGTAAAAAGAGAGCAATGTGTCAAATTGAGGAGCTAAGTGAATGTGAAAGAACAGATGAAAAGAGCAAAAACACTAAATAGTCAAACAAATAAAAGAAAACGTACTTTAAAACAGAAAATCAGGAGTGGAATCAGAGTAAATACAATTTTAAAACAAAACACAATAGAAATTAAACCCTGAAATAACAATGAATGGAAAGGAGAAGAAATAAAGAGAACAATTGAATATTAAAATATATAAATAAACCTTTAAACAGCAAATAAAGCAAAAACACTAAATTAGCGGAACAGAACATAGCACAAACCAAATGCCAAACAAATCAAATAGAAAATGCCATAGGCAATAAATAAAATAGAGAGAAAAAAAATAAATTTACAGTATACTAAAATAGTAGTTGTCAGTAGTATTAAAACAAAAGAAAACAAAACTAAACTAAAAGAAAACAAGATCAAAACAAAAAACAAACCTCAAAACCAAAGCCAACATTAAAAATACAAAAATAGACTAGATTGTAACAATAAAATAGAAAAGGCTAGCCTGAAATAGAGTTTAATAAAACACAAAAACAAACAAAATGTAAGTAGAAAGTACAAGTAGAAGTATAAAAATATTCTGCAAAAATAGTACAGAATAAACCACAAGACACAAAAACAGACTAAAAGCTAAACAGAATGAGACCATGAGACAGAAAAGACTATACTAAGACAGAATAGGAAAGAAAATGACATTTAAATAAAATATGCACAAAATAAATAAATTAATAAAAACCATAAAGCTGAAATTAAATTTAAAAAAGGACAACTTTTAACTATGGAATGAGAAAGCCTACATAAAACTAGATAATAATATTCAAGAATAGAATAGAATAGAATAGAATAGAATAGAATAGAATAGAATAGAATAGAATAGAATAGAATAGAATAGAACAGAATAAAGCAGAATAGAACAGAACAAAATAGAATAGAACAAGAATAGAATAGAACAGAACAGAACAGAACAGAACAGAATAGAATTAGAACAGAACAAGAACAGAATAGAACAAGAATAGGAAAGAATAGAATAGAATAGAATAGAATAGAATAGAATAGAATAGAATAGAATAGAATAGAATGGAACAGAATAGACAGAATAAAGCAGAATAGAACATAACAAAATAGAATAGAACAGAACAGAATAGAACAACATAGAATGTTAGAATAGATCAGAACAAAACAAAACAGAATAGAACAGAACAGAATATAATAGAATAGAAAATAATAAAATAGGACAGAACAGAATAAAACAGAATAGGACAGAACAGAATAAAACAAAACAGAATAGAATAAAATAAAATATAGTATTATAACAGAACAGAATAGAATAGAACAGAATTAAATAGGATAGAAATAATAGAATAGAACAGAAAAGAACAGAATAGAAAAGAATAGAATAGAACAGAATAGAACAGAACAGAACAGAACAGAATAGAATAGAATAGAATAGAATAGAATAGAATAGAATAGAATAGAATAAAATAGTGACACAAAACAGAATTTAGAAAATACTAAATTACTGGACAAGAGAATAGAGTAAAAACAAAACTAAAACTAAATTAAAATGAAATCAAAACAAAGACACACAAGACATAAAATACTCCTAATGAGACTAGACTCTCACCTCCTGGCAGTATGAGAGGATCTTGCTGGGCTGGGTGAAGCATCCCTGTCGACCCTGAGGATCCGGTTCCCACTGTCCGCTCTCAGTGTTCATGTGTAGAAGCTGACGACCACAAAACATGGCGATCTGAGGATCGGCCACTTGTGGACCCCCAACTGGCCCATTCACCTCTGTCATGGCCAAAGCCTGATAAACAGAGAGAGACCATGAGTTTTATACTGATTCAAAAGCAAAGTGAACAATTCTACATGCAAACACAATTTACTGTATATATGCTACATAAAAAATCTGAACAACTAGACAAGTGGCAACTAGCAATGCAAATCATTGAAATACTGTACAGCGAAGATCGAATTTAAAGAGCAAGCTACGATTCTGGCAGACAATGAGTGATTCAATGGATTTGTTCAAAGAAGCCGATTCATTTAGAAAGCAAGCAAGATGAAATTAAGTGATTATAGCTCAAAATGAATTAATTCAGGAAGAAAAGATCAGTCTGAGGCAGTCTCCTAATACTCTTTTAGTTGTTTATTTAACTGTTTATTTCCAACCAAACTGATAAAATAAGAGAATTGCCACTGTTGCTTGTGTGCTAATACAGTTTGCACAAATACAAAACCAACAACTTATAGAAGGCAGTTTATTAAAATATAATACAGACCAAAATTGGAGAACAACTTTCCAGATATTGTTAAATTGTAAAATTTGCATGATTTAAATGGATTATGATGCATTTGAGTTACTAAAACTCAATTTTATTTAACCAATAAAACAGATTTCAAAAAAATGAAATGCAAAAAAATAAAAAATAAAATGGAAATTGGGGAAAAACTTTTTAAAATATCACATTACAATGTAAGTCATTTCATATACTGATTATATATTACAATATAGTAATTTTTTTGTAAATTTAATCAATTAATAGTTCATATACAGTATGCATTTTAAACAAAGTATATACTAAATAATGTACTCTTAATTATGTGATTATTTTTCATACTTTATTTGAAACTTTTGGGCAAATGTCTGAATAAGAAAGTAGAAATATGAAATAAATGTTAATGAAATACAAAATACATCTTAACATCTAATGATTACAGGCCCAACATCAAATAAGTGATGACTTCATTTAAAAAGTGTGTAAACCTGTTATTTTTAAATCGATTAGTTGGCTTCACTTAAAAAAAAAAAACTAAAAAACAAAAAAAAAACAAGTAAACCTGTTACTTTTAAACAATTAGTTGACTCTACTTAAAGCAATTGAGTAAACTTGTTACTTTTTAAAGCAATTATTAACTTTAAAAAATAAGTAAGCCTGTTACTTTTAAAGCAATTAGTTGACTTAAAATAATTGAGCAAATTCATTATTTTTAAAGCAATTAGTTGACTTTACTTAAAATAATTAAGCAAACCCATTATTTTTTTTGGCGATTAGCATGGCCAGACTGAATCTGCGGATGTTTTTTGCTATTTCTGCTGAGAATTTTTGTAAAAATCTCTGGATTTCTGTGGAATTATTTTGGGAGTATCCAGCGGAGTATCATAACTAAAACCTTAATATATTAAATAAAAAGTAATAAATTACTAAATAAAAACTGAATAAATTCAGTTTTACACATTTACTCAAGTAAATAAACAGAATTAATAATGGGCTAAAAATCTGCAGAAATCTGCGGAATTCTGTGGAAAATCTACGAAAAATCTGCGGAATTCTGCGCGCGCATATTCCGTGTGGGCCTAGCGATTAGTTGACTTTACTTTAAAAAGTGAAAAAACCCGTTACTTTTAAAGCAATTAAAATGAGTAAACCCACTATACTCCTAAAAGTATGGGTTGACTTTACTTAAAACAACTGAGGAAACCCATTACTTTTTAAAGCAATTAGTTAATTTTACTTAAAACAAATGAGCACACCAATTGCTTTTAAAGCAAATAGTTGACTTTACTTAATACAACTGATTAAACCAGTTTCTTTTAAAGCAATTAAAACAATAAACTTAACCGTAAACCTGTTACCTTAAGAACAGTAAGTAAATGAACTATGTGCATAATTATAAAACATGAGTTAAGTCAACTCAACATTTTCATATTACAATGAGTTTACTCACTATTTTTAGGTAAAGCAACTAATCGCTTTTTCTAATCGCTTTTTCCAGTGTAAATAAAATGCCCCAAATAAGATGTAAATTTTCAGTTTTTCAAGATACGATCACTGCTATTGCTTTGTTTTGATAACTGTGTTTTCCACAAGATAAAAGGAGAGTTTGAACTGTTCCACCATCATGAAATAGCCATAATTTAAAAACCTTCAAATTCCACATGATTACATTATTTCTGAAAAAAAAATGTTTATAGTTCATAGCTATACATAACGTATGACTATACATACCAAAATAAAAGAGAATGTGCAAAACACATTTAGCAAACAGAAAACTCTCTCAGAGAACGCTCTCAAACTCACACCTTGCTAAAGTATTGAGAAAGTAGGAAAAGTGAAATGGTTCCGAGTGGCCTACATTCCCCATAAAAACATGTTAAGCCTGACTGCCTGTTATTACTGCAAACCACAGCGCGATAAGAAATGTTTGAGGCCAGCACAAATTCAGTGTGATAGTGAAGAGGAAAAGGACAGGACGAGGAGACGAGGAAGAAGGACGAGTGCAGCTGTTATCACGGCCCTGACAGAGAGCAGGAAATATAACATGGACGCTCATTATTGAATTTCAAATTGAGCCGGCGAGCCAGACTTGCTGATAACCCTAAATGCAGCTTATCCATCTTCCATCAAACCTGCGTGTGTAACTGGAGGACAGAAAGACACACACATATAGATGTGCAGAGAGACACTGTACAAGATATGATCAATAAGTCATGGCATGTTTTTAATTTCATGTGTCTTAATTTCACTTTAAGGTCATTTTTGTTTTCTTTTTAATCATCAAGCAAATCAAATATACAGTTGAAGTCAGAATTTTTAGAAATATTAGCCCCCTGTTTATTTTTTTCCCCAGTTTCTGTTAAACGGAGAGAAGATTTTTTCAACACATTTCTAAACATAATAGTTTTATCAGCTCATCGCAAACAACTGATTTATTTTATCTTCGCCATGATGACAGTAAATAATATTTTACTACATATTTTTGAGGCACTATACAGCTCAGGGTGCTTTCACACCTGTAAATTGATTCATTTGTTCCGAAACCGGAAATAAAATTGTCACATTGTTGCTCTTTGCTCTTGATCCGGTTCGCTTTCACACGGCAAAGTTTCTAATTTTCAAATTTTTTTATTGAGATATTCATTGCATTGCATTGCACAACATTACAGCAGATGTTACAGCATCTCAAGTTTTTAAAAACAATAACATTATCTGTAATAGAATAAAATAAAATAGTTAAGAGAGGAAAAAAAAAAAAAAAAACAGAATATCTAACCCCTAAAACCCACCCCACCCCTGGGACTGAAGCTTATGCAGTACTGTTGGTGTGACCTTCACCATCTGGATTTTTAGTCTACGCTTTCAAGATAGAGGAGAAGAGGAGACCAAATCTTGTCAAATTTTTTTCAATTTCTTTGCCTTAAGAAATCTAATCCTTTCCAAATGTGCTAATTTAGTTAATTCTTCCAGCCAAGATCTAAATGATGGGGATTCTGTTGATTTCCAAAACCTTAGCACCAGCTTCTTTGCCACAATAAGACTGTAAGACAACAGTTGTTTTTGAGAATCCTGAAGTGATCTAGTTTTGTCTGAAATTCCCACGGCAAAGTTTCTAAACGGACCAAAAGAGCTAAAACAAGTCATGTGTGAGTAACCTCTCCTCACATTGGTCAGAGTTCAACGATTTATTTTGCAGAGTCCCGCTCAGCTGTCGGGGGGGTGGTTTGATGGTGTTTGACAGGGTGCGCACAACGTGTCTGAAGAGCGAGGAGGGATGCGGTGGGGAAGGGTGAGAAGGGTGCGCGACTTATTTGAAGACTGGGTAGGAGACACGCGATTACCGGGAGTTTATCAGTCGTTTGCGGGCATCCGGGAGTTTCTGTGCATTTGCGGGAGACTCCTGGAACTTCTGGGAGACTTGGAATGACCTCCCGCCCTACTCATAATTCTCTTTTCATATAGCCGTATGCCTGTTACATATCCATAAAACACTGTGATATAGCCGGGCTCGGATTGTATCGATTTCTCACTACAATCGATCTGCTTCAGAGTTCATTTAAATCGAGCCGAGACTATTCGGCGATCTTGGACTGATTGTTTTGGCGTGGATCCGAGCGCGATTGCTGAATACACATATACCAAACGAACCTCGCTAACTGGGCAAACGAGACAGATTCTGAAATGAAAGTCTAGGTGTGAAAGCACCCTTAAAGTGACATTTAAAGGCTTAACTAGGTTAATTAGGTTATTAAATAACGATAGTTTGTTCTGTAGACAATGGAAGAAAATAAGTTGGGAAATATTTAAAAAAGAAAAAAAATCAAAGGGGGGCTACAGTAATAATTCTGACTACAACAGTATATTTTTAAACCATTTAAACTCTGCTTGCAGTTTTAAAACATGACTTGTAATGTTAACTGTAATTATTAATTTAATTGATTTAATTATTAGCGTTTTTAAAAGTGTGAAATGTTTAGGGGCTCTGAAATGAAATAATGACATGTAAGGTCATTTTTTAGCTTAAGGTGAATGCATAAAAGGCTGCTCTTCAGGCACAAGATGTCAGATTGATGTTGTACCCCAACGTTGTGGGACATTGGATTTTGTTTAGAAATGAAAATTGGGTTGGCGTCAGAACCCAACTTCAGACCGTTACACACACTCCTATACTACAGCCAATTTAGTTTGTGTAATTCACCTATACCGCATGTCTTTAGCCCTCGGAGAAAACCCACATGAACACGGGGAGAACATGCAAACTCCTAACAGAATCTCAAGACTAAAACATAAATACCATGGATCTGCTCATCCTGCAGGCAAAACTAAAAATGTCAATGAATTCAAAAGGGCAAAGGGGAACTATTATCTTCAAAATGTAGAAGAGGCTTGGCACTATAATGACCATTTTTTTCATCAAAATAAAGTGACATTTTTCTCCCTGAATATATTTCTCGGGTATCTTTTCTATGTTGTGCCCTTTCCGCAGTCTCTTCATGATTATTTTGAACTGTTTTGGGAATGGAAAACA